TTTGCGTCTTGACAGGCCACACGTGCCAAGTGCTTGGCGGCGGCGTTGCCGGCCCCTGCCGCTAGGCCTAAAATAATATGATGATTGCTCTTAATAGCCAAAAGAACTATAGTGATAGTACCGTACTACTAGTCAAAGCAACAGTAAGGACAGTGAAAATCTTACTCGTAACATAGTGACAATGATCGCGGTAGACACAAATACTCACCATAAAATGGCACAAGCTAGTAGCATTAAGAGTAGCGATCGCAATCAAGCTGTACTTGCTGTAATCATTGCTATTACTGCGGCCCTTTCAAAAAGGTGATCACGGTTGCTGTGCCTTTCGGGCTTCTTACGATGGTGCAAGTGTTTCGAAGGCTATCATTATTCCTATGCTGCTGCATAGCTAATCATCAATGTGATTCCTAATAGCACTAACAAAAATGGTTTGCAACAATCCCTTAAATGACACGCACGAAAAAGACACTAGCGTTAGTAATACTCAAAACAGCAACAAGAAGATACTATCAGTACCGTAAGAAAATGATTTACCATGACCTTCACAACTTTTATGATGAACGCGCTAATTACAACCATGCCATGTTTTCTCTTTGTTCGAACTTGTTTGTTCACTCTGTTTGCTGCAATTTCATTATTCCTGCTGTATTCGTAGTAGTGGTAGTAGTAGTAGCAGTAGTAGTACTATGGATCGTACTAACCTCGCTAGAAAAGCTATGGCTAGCCATGGTGGTAATGCAGTCATAGTCATATTAACGGCAGCGACACTAAATCAACAAACAAAACAGCCACAGTAAGAACAACACTAGTGAGCAACATGTTCACAGCTGTACCCACCCAGTTTAGATCATTGTAAAACTAGGTACTTTCGCAAGTACAATGCTGCAATCAAGTAGAGTAGAACTACCATCAATGAAACTTTCCCAGACCGGCGGTAGTAATCTGTAGTAGTTTCAGGAACAAGTTGAAGCACGAGCCACAGAAAAGAAAAAAGCAGTACCGGCAGCAGTGTGTTTAGTAGCTCAGCATAATAGGAAGACAATGGCAATGTTGCTAGTAACGAAAACACTTGGGAGCACGTATGAATATGCACGGAGATGGTCAACAATAGCGCTATTGTTGTTGCAGGGTTCTTGTTTAGTATGAATGCGAATGATCATGACAGAGGTGCTGCTCGTAGATTCTCTTTGATCTCCGACTTGGACTTCCGAGTTCCCAAACTAGACTTCCATGATTCCAGCGCGGTCATCGAATCTCGCAGACCCAGAATCCGAAAACACAAATATCAAAATCAAACAACTTGAAAACACTGCCTTTGGAAAAAATCAGCAGCAACATAGCTGTCGCTTAGCCAAGGGTCCTGCTGAAGGGCTTGAAGGCCACGAACTTTCGGAGCAAAAGTGGCTTCAAGATCTTCGAGCTGAAGGCGCTGAAAAAGGCCATCTCTCAAAGATCCGGAGAGGTGTAATACAGCCGCTAATTTGTCCACATCCTTCTGCATGAGGAATTCGCGAGCTTGCGTTTCAGAGCCCAAGTCGCCTCAGGCTGCAGACAGCACAAAAAATCAGGGTTGGCAGGCAGTGGACTTGTTGACTGTCTGCTTCTTTGGCAGAGTTGCACTGCCAGAATGACACGCGCGCAGCAGCGCGCCCAAGCCAGGATGGTGTCTCTCGCGCACTGCGTGAGACAAGGACCAAATCCTTACGCAACCCAAGGCTCAAGACGGCTCAAGACACCTGATGGCTTGTAACACGTTGCTATGCTGCCCTGCTGAGTGGCTTCTGCGCCTTCTTCCAGGAGTGCGCGGCTGACAGCCAGCCCCAACGCACCCGTTCCACCAGTTATCAGATACGTTGCCCCTTCCCGGATGCGAAGAGGTGATGGCACCGAGAGCACAATCTTCCCGATCTGTTCTGCTTTGCGAAGGACTTGCAAGGCTTCTGAGCAGGCGCCCAAGCCTTCAAAGACTCGAAAAGGCAGGGGCTCCCAGGCCCCGTCCACCATCCTGAGACGGGTCAGGGTGAATTCTCGGGTCGTATTTCATTACATCTGTTTCCTGATGTTTGCCATAGTACCGTTTCAAAAACTACTCCAGCAACTCGGGCAAATTTTGCATGATTCTGATTAGTCCTGCCTTGCTGAAAGACGTCTCAGCAGATGTTGGAACTGTGCAGGGTCCTCATTGCAGATCGTGTCCATGGCTAGAACTTTGTACTGCACCTTGGGCCGCACTTTTGTCATGTCATCGTGGGTCCAAATGCCGCGCTTTCCAATCTCGATGAAAACTCCTCCATCCCGCAAGAATGACAGAGACCGCCCAATGAAGTTATCATGACCTCGGCTCGGGAGGCTCTCGGTTCCTCAAGTCAGAATGCAAGCGAGCAAAAGCAATGCTAAAAGTAAATGCAGCTCGGACTCTGAGACTGTTCAGGACTACATCCAACTGTGCATTGTTTTCGTCGGCTAACGCCGTCGCCATTTGTTCCTGAAACTTCTGGCCGTCCCGCGAACTTGTGACCTCGTGTTGATTACTTGGACGCTGCACGACTCTGCTTAAAAAGTTTCGGACAGGCGCACCCAAGCAATCAGAGGCAAGCTGCACACTTCACACCCATCTGCAGAAGATAGTTCTGCTTGTCCTGTCAATGACCGGGGCCCCTCAGTCACGCTTTGTGGATCAAAACGGAAGATAGAGGACACCTGGTTTCCCGCTGTGGCATAAACCACGGCACCCAGTCGCAGAGCATACTGCACAGCCGTCAGCCCAACACCACCTGAGAGCCCAGGCGCAGAATAAACCAACTGTTTGCATTGAACTAGCTCCCAGATTTCTGCAGAAAACACTTGCGCAAATCCTCAGAAAATTAATGGCAGAGCCTGCTCCAGCATGGACAAGCACGCGCTGTCCCGCCTTGCCAGCAATCAGGGTATCCTACAAGTAGCGTCTTGCTAGACTTCAAGTTGTTAGGCTTTTTGAGGCGTAGCTTTCCAGTTGAAAACTGCTCTGCTGCGCACATTCTTGCAACATCCTGCTGACTCAGGGATGTGCCAGTAAAGAGGAAATTAAGTCCAATAACACTCCACCAGCCTGCTGATTGCAGGGGCTGGGACATGACTGTACAGCCTGGTCGGGAGGAGTCAGCTCCTCCGAGCAGGCAGCAGACCCATGCAACGATGGATCCTGGGCCTTCTTCATTCATACTGCCCAACCTACTTTACCAGTCATCACAACATTCCTTTGGCGCCCTTGGACGTTGTGTTTGCCTTTGCAGGCATGTCTGTCCAGCATTCAGCCATGGCAAAACTCTTCATGCCACGGCTGGATGGGCGTTTTGTGTTTTCAGGGCAGCATCAGCGAGGTACACCACGCGGATCTGGATAGCAGTGCTGTCATTGGAACCCTCTGAAGAATCCAAACTTTGATTTCTTACCGGAGGCTAGAATGGACATCCTGCCCGCAAACGGCATCAGGCAATCTCACACAAAAACAGCAGCCTGCAGAGGGCTGTGCTCTGTAAGTTCCACCCCTGCTGTGAATCTGAGAGACGAAGCAAGGACATTCAAAAGCAAAATCTTTCTGAGTGCTCCAATAGTGACAGACATTTAGACCCTCAGTCCCAGACCTGTAGGCACGCCAGCTCGCCCAAAGCCATGTCAACGGTGGTGTACACCGTTGGCAAAGCAGCAGCTTCTGCATGGGACCAACTCGGCGGACGCTCCACGAGCAGCTTGGGCTCCTGAGCGAAGGGCCCCCGATGCGACGCGATGCGAAACTTCAGCTTTTTCAAAATCACTGCAGTCCTTCACTGTTGCAAATGTGCGCAAACAGCCGAATGAGATCCCAAAGAGTTTTGCTCCAAACTGCGTGGGCGCTTCTGGATCATCATCAACCATGAGGCCACTGCAATCGAGGCCAGGATCCCCTGCAAAAGCCATATCACGCAAGCTGCAAAGGGATTTTGCCGTTGAGTGTCACTCCGCCTTTGACAAGGCCTGTGAATCCTGGCCTTTTTTTCAAATGCAGACACTGCCTGTGTGGTCTTCACGCATGAAAAAAAGCATGGCGTTGGAGGAGCAATGGTTTTGCCTTCCCCTAGCTGTAGGGCAAGCCATGGCCATTGAAACACACGAGCGCATGCTGTTGTATTAAGGAACGGAGTATGGCGTATGTACGACTCATAGAGTCATAGGCTCATAGCACACAAACGACCAATATCAAACGGTCTGGATGATCAATGAGGAAGCCCCCCCTGAATAGGATGGGTGGTGATGCTGACCAGACATGGAGGATGAGGATGAGCACCGTGAGGGCAACAATTTTGCCGGCATCGACCTCAACGGTCGTTGACAGACTGCCAATGCTGGCTTACACAAGAATCACTTCCTCGAGCAACCGAAATCAAAGCAAGCCACCATTACCTTCGCTGCTACATACAATTACCAGTGCAGCACTGCTACGCGATCAGCAAGCAACAGCATATTATGAAGCCCAGAACCCAAGGAGGCCTAGGAAATACACGTCGCACAACAAACTTTCTCTGCAAAAGCACGAGCTTCAAAGCCCAGAGCCCCAGGACCTTGGGGACGCATTCCGCGTACCGAACATGCATTACGAAAGCACGAGCCTCGAGGCCCACAGCTGCCAGAGGCTTTGGGCAGCCATGTCGTGTACTAGGCATTATACTCTGCAAGCAGGAGTTTCGAAGGCCTACGAATCCAGAAGTGACGACAGCCTCGCATTTCGCAGGCCCATAAGTCCAGAAGCTCTGACAATTCTGCACTTCGCAGCCACCGCATGCGTGCGGCTGCGTCAGTGCGCGTTGTGACCACAGGCACTTTCTCTCAACATACAAACCCCAAAAGTGCAAGCGCTGCATCGGAAAAAATCACACACAAGAAGATCAACAATGAGTAGACAACAGCGGGGCATGATGATAGACGTACCATCATCAGGAGGACACATGATACTGCAGAGACAGAGGAGGAGGAGGAGTCATGAGCCAGGAGCCAGCAGGAGGAGGAGGCGGAGGAGGTGCATGCGCATGAGGATTCAGCAGCAAGAGGAGGTCATGATGAATGATGCGGGTGACGAAGATGACGTCAGTGAAGTTGATGCTGCTCAGGCCGCTGCAGCTAATGACGGTACGCAAGATCGGCTCAGTCCCTACGGCAATTGCCACAGTTGCCCGAGCACAGTGAAGCAATCACAAATGACCAGGATTGACCAAGCTTGCATAAGCTTGCAAGACTGCTTTGATGGAGCCCTGGCCTGGATTGCCCGGATACATGCCAAGCACGTTCAAGACATCTCGAAAGTTCAGGCCAACTGCTGCCGTGCCTGTGCGTTGAACAGCCATTGCTGCAGCGGGCAAGATCAAACGTCTTGTGCCGAGTGGCGTAAGCAGCCCTTGTTTGACCGCTGCGGAACAGGAACCAAGCATGAGAAGGCACCGCGACTTGGCAAAGACAGCCTTCAGAATTCAGGAATAACATGGTCGAGTTGATGCAGATTGTCTGTGCAGTGCGCCGCAGGCTGAATGCCGGCATGTGGCTGCATAGGGAACTGCGGAAGCAACGCGCTCTGCTGCAACCTATCACACTGGAGCACTGCTCAGGCCCAATGTAAAGATTTGCTGCGGAGTTGCAACTTAGGCCATCCTGCCTGGCAGAGTAAGCAGTATCTGCTCGAAGGCATGGCTCCTGATGCATGACACTGCACAAGCCTCTGACAAATCAGCGAAGTACTTCGAGCACTAATCTACTGCCTGGTCTTCCCAATTCGTCACAGTTGATGGCGGCAAATCCGAGCTGCTGGCTGCTTCCTGAGCACCATGCCCCAACAACTTCCAAGAATTGGACTTGAACCTTTTGCGTGGGCACTGGCGTGGACCTAGAGCGAATGCAACGCAGCAGGCTTTTCACGTTCGTCAAGGTTCCAGCGACAAATCCAAACACATGACGTTCAGCTCGGGCATTTCCAGTCGCACTGACCTGGCCAAGCCCCAGAGGCCTGCATGTGTCGGATCGTAGCTGCTCCTGGGCTCTGCGGAAAACAAATTTGCGTCACTCTCAGATACTCTCAGGTTGAAGTGACAAAAAAATTCAGCTTGCTTCAGCTTGGCTGCTGGTCAAGCTCTGGCGGCTGAGCACCGAATGCCACCAGGATGATTGTGGGTCTCAACTTGGATGCCGCTTGCAAAAACCGCAAGGCAGCGTGGAGAGATTCGAGCTGATTGCCCTCCGCCACAAAGGCAACGAAGCCAACTTCTCCAGAGCCTTACAAGGTGGTGCATGGAAAGATTCCTACAAAGGACAAGGGTGCACTGGGAACATTCCAAGGAACTCAGCAAGTCCAGCGCGCTCTGCAGCACACTTGGTGAGCTATCTGTGAAACAGCGACATTGCTCCTCTTTCCAGGAGAGTGCAGCCAGGACCTGCTGCTTGCGGTGCACGGAGCAGTACACAAGAGCTGTCGTGCTCTCTGGCAGTGCGTAGCTTGGCTTTTCCACAGTGAGGAATGCTACGCGATACATCAGCTGCGTCAGCTCTTCCTGTTTGCTTTCTGGCTGCGCTCTGCAAGTGAGGCTCATGAGCCGGGCAACCAGGATACCATCCTCTGTGCAGATCTCCACGTTACCAGAAATAGATTCGGCAGAGACACTCCGGACGTGGACTGTTACTAAGAACTCGCAACAAGGAAATTTGGTGGCAATGATGCAGCTGTCGATTGTAAAGGGAAGGAAGCAGCGCAGAGAAGAAGGGCAGGCCAATAGAAGAAGCTGCATAGCGCCATCCAGTATGCCAGGGTGCAAATTCAGTCGCCGGTCCCATGTCTCCAAATTCAAGGCTAAGCGTCCCAGCACACGTGAACCTCAAGCATGAGAATGGCGGATGTGAAAAGGTTGCTGCTTAATGGCACCCGTGGTGGCTAATAGTGGCTAACAACTGTTCCGCAGGGAAACCGTCAGAGCTCACAGACCAAGCTGAAATGGACCGGAAGCTCGGCCCGTATTCCAAGCCGCGCTGCGCCAATGTCCTTTGCACTAATGCTCTGCTCAACACGTGGTCTGCCAGACGTGTCTACGATCTCGCTGCATAATCAACCCCCTTCCCGAAATCCTGATTTGCTCTGCATCTGGCGTCTATATGCTACACTGCTACACACACTAGTCAGTCCACAGTCCTGTAAGCCGCAGCTGGAGCCTGTTGGGAAGGACATTTGGCCTGCCATTCTGCGAGGCTGTGCTGAAGCGTAGCCCCGCGTGCCCCTGATCCTCCGATCAGTCCTGCAGACAATCCGGCCGAAATCATACTTGCAAACCACGCGCGTGTACGTGTCAAACTCAAATCAGTGTTGGTTCTTTCGCATCTGTTTGCCAAGGAACTGGCGTTGCCACATTGTGCGCGAACTTGTTGGCTACCGTCTTTGCTGGATGCACTGCCAACACTGGACAGTGTGAGCCCCGAAGGATGGACTCGCACTTCAGAGTGTACCGCCCGATCTTGGTCCTTTGGAAGAATGAAGGCGCTTTCAAAGATGGAGTCCTGATCCGAGCCATGCAATCCAGCCGCGAACCCTGAAACCTGTGCTGAACTCGGAAGACAAGACTCACTGAGCTCCACAAAAATGTCTGGCCCGAAGGAATCCCTGAGCAACGCTGCAGGCACGACTGCTGTAATTCAACATGATGCAACGATGATCACTTAGTTCATTGCGACCTCTAGACCACTTGCACGAGAACAATCAGAAGACTTCGAACTGGTTTCACGTCTGAGGCGTCTTACTTGGTCAAGAGATAATCTGCCAGCGCAGTTACCCATGACTGATCTAAACGATATAGGCAGGATGTTCTCCTCACTCGACAGCCATTTTTCCAAGATGAGGCCCTTGCTTCAGCTACCAGTCTCATACAAATCATTTTCAAATGTTTGGTCAGGAACCCCGCGGCAACACCAAAAAACCAAGTGTGAACCGCTTGCTTCCTTTGTTTGTCTACAGAAAGCATTCCCTGCCTCAACTGCCAGGCTTCTGCTAAATGAGCCTCTAAGCTATCTTCCCATTGGTCTGTGAGATCCTCCGGCTCTTGCAGACACGCTGCAGTTTGCCTGGATGCTGTGCAGTCAGTGCTGCGCAAGACATCAGCAGCAAATGCGAAGCCGCAGGGAGTACTGCCTGGCCAGAGACCTGCCACACGTGCACAGTGCACCAAGCCGGCAACATAGTGTGACAGCCAACATCTGCTGCGTACACCTGCGTACCCTCACTAAAACACAATTCACTACGTGCCAATGTTTTACATTGCCAGGTGCTGGCTTTGGCCATTGCCCCTTTTTTCCTATCGTCTTCTATCTGTGCTGCTGAAAGACGCGGTGCTGCCGAAACAGCTGGACAGCAGGGGAAGCTGTAGCAGATGAATCGTCGCACAGCGCTGGTGATCGAAATACCTGGGGGCCGTTTGCGGGAATCTTACTCAAGAGTGTTCTCCCTGGGGGCACCTTGGATCCACTCTCTGATGCAGGCGAGCCCAAGAGTGGGTGAAGCCAAGGTCTCACCTAGGTCACCGCTTTTGAGGCACTGATGGCAATGTCATGCAACATCAATCGTCTGCGAGGACCCATGGAACGCTCTGCAGCCGCAGCGTGGGAGCTTTGA